ATATATATATATATATACTGTATATATATCAGAGAAATTACGTCAATACAAAGCTTATAAAAAAAACTAGCCCTATAGCCTTTTTTATGCAAAATGTGTTTGAATATAGTTAGACATTATAAACATTTTTTTTAAATTAAATGTATATATTTTAAGGACCTTTTTAACATCTATTAAATCACCGCATTGATGCAGAAAAACTTATTTGTAAATAACTATATAAGCTACATTTTAAAATTATAATATGGAAATAATGCCATAAATCAAAGGTTGAAAAAATAGCCTTAATTCATTTAAGTATACTTTGCTATACATCTTATTAAAAATATAAATATATTACGGAAATAATGCAAAAACAATTGTAAAAAAACAGCATTCACATCATCTTTACGCAAATTTACTATCAAAATTACATTTATGTACACAATTATATAAATCTATTTTTATTTTTGCAGTGGCTGTAAAAATAGTCTTCATTTTCTTTGTGCAAAATTACTTGAAGAGTTTGGGGGTGAAGAGTTACCTGGACATGTTCTCAATTGGCTTTGCGATGTTCACTCATTTATGGATAATTTCTAGTCATTTTAAAAAAGCATTTTCTGCATTTGTAACAGTTGAGAAGCACATGAAATTGGGGCAAAAAAGGAAGAAGATCACAACATGACGCAAGACTGATTCAAACATGAGCACATGCACTACCAACTATGCCATGGCTCTGACAAAGTGAGTGACTTTCGATTTGAAACATCAATCCGCACAACATGAGTAAAGAACAGACAACAGAAGCCCACGCCAGGTTTCTTAACTATGAGATTGAGCAGCGCAGAATGTGGGTTGACTGGGTGCTAAAGTTAGCATTCTTGCACTTGCCTGCAGGCCAGTCTGCACGTGATATTTATAACCCTAGCCATACTGCTACTACAGTCACTGGAACCAGCACACCATGTCCCTCCCTGGATAAACACAGCAATGCGCTGAAAGTGAGGTCACTACCTGTTGCAGCACAGATGCGGTGAAACTGTCCCGAATGGGGACGAATCGCATGATCCCAATCAGGTCCCAGTGCTACCTTCAAAGTATGAGTCACATGCTTTTAATCTTCTACAAAGCATTAAGTTCTGCAATTAATATGAAAATGAGCAGTAAATACATCATTTTGCGCGAGTAAAAACAATAAAACCTAATTGTAGCTCAGTCAAAACATTGCCGTGAGTAAACTACACTACATAGGTGATGCAGCTGTCTATTTCCTCCTCCTAGAGCCTGCGTGTGAAATTAGGGTTATGCTGGGGTGGCCAAAACACTGCCTGAACCAACTTTTGCTGACATATTGACGTCTAAATAAACATATAAACCACATGACTCCAATCTTAAATATCTCTAAAGTGAAGCTGAGGATTGGCAAGTCTAAAGTTACAAAAATAAAAGGGAATTGTTCAATTCAAAGGCCTGCAGTGCATTTAAACAGGGGAACGCAATAAAAGTGTAATTAATCATTCCGTACTAGCGAAATTGAGCACCAACCAGACAAGCCGCTTGTTAAATCCTCAGGTTTCTCTAGTAAATGTAAATGGTACATCCACAACAACAACTTAAAAAAAATACAATACAGTTTTCATAATAAAAAAATGGAAAAGCCACATATGAGATCATCAAATTGTCCGATGACAGCTCATCACTGAGATATGTAATGACAAACTGTGCCTAACACATTTTTACACAACGTATTTAAAAAAAATAAATCACGAATAAAGTTTGTGAAGTTATCACAGAGAAGTTATCAAATATTTGACTTCTTTTTATAACAGTCAAACAAGTCCTTTAGCATAGCCTATCTTTCAGATTTTTAAATATACAAATGTATAGGTATACTATAAAGATACATATTTTTAAATTACTTTTTTTTTTACATTTTGCATCAATACATCATATTATGTATTTTGATAAATGCCTCCACCCACATCGATGTATTGATAATGCACAGATGTAGGCTACAAGTTCAGCTCAATTTAGACCCAGCTTGTGGAACAGTGTCATCATCATAAACCTATTTCCTTACTTATAATCTGAAACTGAATGTTGTAAAAATACGTAATATAACATTATTAACATGACATAGGCGTAATGAAAGAATTGCCAATTTTGTAAACGCTAAACAACTTGAAAAATGCAATTAACTAAGTGAACGCATGAAAAAAAAAACTAAATAAATATTATATCAGTCACATCACCAAGTGAATTTGCTGCAGAAGAGACTGAATCGACGCATAGATTTGATGCCAGCAACAAAATGCAGAAAGCATCTTTTCTTCTACTTGAAAAGTTAGATATTTTTATAAGCCATCCAACAAACTACATACAACTATACTGTTAGTTGCAACCAATTCCACTTGCTAGAACAGACCTGTGACCCATTTTTTGTGAAAACGCAAATTCTCATTTCTTGATACAATCGTCAAACCAAGCACAATTTCAAGAGCTAGTAGATGATGTACATATTCATTTATATACAAAATGCCTCCAGCACAACTCAACCTGTGCGTCTTTTATAGCGAGTTTAAAAGCAAATGCCATTCGCTATGAACTCACTGCCTGCTGGTCACATGCTAAAACTCTCCATTCCCTCACATGTCCACATACATAAACACACACAGCAGACCCAATAGAGAAAGGAGCCTTTCCAGTCATGGTTAGGTCTCAAGAGCTGCATCCAAATTCTTTCCTCCCCCTGTCTGAACACCGGCCCAAAAAAAGGCAAGTGATTTTAAATGCATGAGCCTGTACAGACAACCTCCTGCAGTCACTTACAGCCACATCAAACCCAGAAGACTCATTGCAGGGCTTTAGATATTACGGTTTTCAATGTCAAAAGCCACTTTTTCCAGTTCAAATTGCATGATACTTATAGAGTAGACTTTTGTGACATCTACAACAGTTACTTTAATGCTCTTTGACTTTGAATTACACAATAAGTTAACATGGGACTGCATTATGTTCTGCAACATCTAGACAGACCTACCTGCACATACAACTGTCAATTTATATATTTTTACTCCTTATTTACTTGTTCTATTTTTTATTATCTGTGTTTTTTGTTCTGTCACTGTCATTCTGTTACACTGTGGAAGCTTCTGTCACGAAAACAAATTCCTCGTATGTGTAAACATACCTGGCAATAAAGCTCATTCTGATTCTGATTCTGATAAGCTTTGCAATGTTTTACCCTTAACATCTGAATAAACATGTTTATTGTGTCTATGATGCCCAAAAATGTTGCTTAAATAGAAATCTCACTAAATTTTAAGACAATATATGTACATTATCAGATAAATATGAAGCACAAAATGTAGTTTTATACTATCTTTCCTAGACAAATTCAATTGATAAATTGACAGAAATTGCCTCCACACTTCTATCTTTGCCACACATACTTTTTTTGCAAAAACCATTAGCGCGTTAAACGGTTATTAATGGAAAAACTAAACTAAAGTGACGCATCTTTCACGGATGTTTACAGTCAAGCCAAGGAAACTACGTCTTAAAGCGACAGTTCACTAAAAATTAATGGAAAATTGTGTCAGGATTTACTTGAATTCATTGTTTCGAAACGTACTGACTTACTTTCTCATGTGGATCGCCAATGTGGATGACAAGAATAATTTTGAGAACTGACAGCGCAAGTCGCCATTGTATGAAAAAGACGCTTTGAAAGTGAATGGTGACTGGAGCGGTCATTCTGCCAAATAATATCATCTTTGAAGTTTCACACGAGTAAATCAGTCATACGGGTTTGTTACAACATGAAAGAGTATATTATGACAGCATTTTAGTTTTTCGAACTTATTATTGGTTATAAACTGCGCGACTTTGACCTTTTTCGCGCTCGCTCGTGGTCTCGTTTTATATAATAATTCACCCTGCCACACAGAAACCATATTACACGGAATCTTCCCCCATAAATGCCACATTTTCAGTCAATAATCTCAAACGCAACATACGTGTCAACTAGGTAATTTAGCCTCTTTCAAAATACACAGCCGTGCTAACTGGTTGCTATGCACTTTAACAACGTAATTTCAATGGTGACCAGCGGATCAAAACACATTTACGAGTCGGCTCCGTGAATCCATACATAACAAAACCCATGCACATTCACCCGATGAGTTTATAAACAGATTCAACTGTTATTGTGCTGTAACGTTATATCTACTAACATTTAGAGGCTAACAGGCTAACCATCAGCTAACACATACACACACACCCGAGAATCAGTCAGGCAGTCCTCTTCCTACCTTCACAAACTCATTTACACACAAATGCGATTATTCCGGCTTCATCGATCCAGCACAGTGCGCATAAAAAGCTAATATCAGTTTCAATCAGACCCCGATTAGCTTCAGCGGCTACGTGGTTCCGCAAAACGGCCCGACGAAGATGGTGAAGATGATGATGGTGGTGGTGGTGCCTGGCTGAGTAAACACAGCCAGCCAGCAAACCGTCCTGAGACACGGATCTGTGCACACCAGCCGCCGCTGAGCCGCTCTTAACTCACCTGGTGCAGCGCGGTGAGTCCGTCAACATTGGCGTAGTTGATGTCCGCGCAGCGGTCGAGCATTCGCAGCACCTCCTCCGTGTCGCCGCTGGAGCAGGCGGCCAGAAACACGGCGCCATCGTCGAACTTCACCTTCGTCTTCTTCTTCTTCAGGACGGGCGGCTCGAGATCCGTCTCCGAGCCTATCCAGCGCTTCAACTGTTCGTTCCTTTTCTGCTTGGCGTCCGCCATCTTCATCCCCTCTAGCCTGGCGCTTCTTAGCTGTCTCGGATGGAAGATATACTTTATACTGCCACTATCCCGACACAGCGCGCTGGGGCGTGGGAGGGGACAGCGCGGGAGGGGGGTTAGGCTCAAAACCTGCTTGACGCCGAAATATCGCGAGAGCGAGCGACGTCATCCCTGGATCTGCAGCATAACGTCATCTTTATGGGGCAGCAGAGAGAAAATGCACAACAGCAGTTGACTACATACAAAGGTGTTGTTTAGGGTTGACATGGAACATGGGAAAGTGAAAGCATATAGTACTAAATATGAGATTAAATAAAACAAACAAACAAATAAATAAATAAATAAAAGATGTGTTTTTGCTGAGCCATATTAGAGTATCTTACTACATGCAAACAAAAAAAAAGTAATTGCAGGGGTGGGAAATGCACCAAAATATGTTTGTTCATTAACTCAGACCTTTAAAACGCCTTTACGACTGAAATGGAAACCCCTGCAGTTAATAAGAGTGAGCTCTTCCATTCATATGAGCTGTGATTTATGCAATATTTTAATAGACTCATATAGGACAGAAATATTACATAGCAATGACAAATGAAGTGAAGTGAAGCATAAGCCCACCATGTGTTAATTTTCTTGCTTGTTAATGTTTACATGTGCAGATATGTTCCTCAGACTTAGTGCTTATTCAGAAGAACCAATTGCATCCAGAATTTTTTTTGTTGTTGTTGTTAAAATGTACTGTGGTGGTACAGTGATGGCAATGTCATGGCACTATGGAACTGAATTATTATATTAATATACTATGGTATTTATATGGTACTCCAAAGAATACAGTGATGCAATACAGTGAGCAAAAGTTTAATAAAAGCCTATAATTAACCAGCAAATATATATATATATTAATTATATATATATATATACATATTTTGCCAGTATGTGTGTTCCCTGGGAATCAAACCCACAACCTTTTGCGCTGCTAATGCAATGCTCTACCACTGAGCCATATATATATATATATGCTTGCATTGTTCCACTTGCTTGCATCAGGTCTTTTTTTTTTTTTTTTTGCATTTTATTGGTTTATTGTCAGTATTAATTTAATTAATCTTGTTTTTAAATTAAATATGTTTATAACACACTTTGAGTTGCAAGTTACGCACTGAAGAAAATAATAATACAAACTGACATTATTATTATTACTAGTGCATTCATAACAAATAATCAGTATAATCTATCAATTATTTGGATATTTGAATTTATTTTTGATCCTTTTTGAGCATATGTTCAGAAAGTAAAAAGATGATATTCATATTAAATATTTATGGTGTATTGTGAAGGTACAGATTGCGATATCAAAACTGCTTACTACTGTATTCTACTTCTGTCATATTTAATGTCCCCACAGATTCAAATTATCATCTTTTTTACTTCCTTTTATGGATTTTAAAAATATATATTTTTATATGTCATGGGGAGAACTTCACTTTTGGGGGAAAAGTGTGTTAGATTGTGATAACAGAAATTACTGACTACTTAAAAAGCAGGTGATTAACAGAAACAGGGAAAAACTGACTACTTAAAAAGCTAATTGTACCTCTTGAAGGCTTCTAAAAGTATCCTCATCTGGGTAATTGAGTTGACAGAAACCTTTTGACTGGGGTGGTCCTGCTCTACCGGGCCGGTAAAGAGTGTTATCTTTCTTTTGGCACTGTGGTGCGTTATTGTTGGCACAGGCCCATGTATGTGTGGTTTGTGCAGGTTGCAGGTAACTGGCAGGCTATTTCAGATGTTTGCCATCTCTCTTACTAACTATAATCAACATGATGAGCTTTATGACTTGAAGTGCAAGAAGTGTCAATGTAATTGCCCAACTAATTTAATTGGGAGACGATCCAAGTGTGTACGTCATCACAGATTCGTGCAACGATTGAGAATAGCGTAAAATTTGTGTCTTGGTTTATTATGGTACATCCTGACTATAGACATGATGTCTAATTAGAGGAAAAATGTGTAAAAAAATATGTAAATATGTGTTAAATATTCTAGATCCCTTAACCAAACATAAACTATGACTAACTTACTTACTATCAATGAGCAGCAAATTAAATTTCACTTTCACTTTCAATAGGAGTTTATTGAGGGAAAATAATGATAATGAATATGTGTTCCTTAATCTAAAGTGTTACGAGAGATTTTCTTTGCTGCTGTGTTTTCATTTGGACTTTTCAAGACAGGAGTCTTACTTTAATGGATTTCAATGCAATCAGTGCATGAATCAGCTGCTGGCAAGTCTTGGTGTAGGGCAATAGAATATACGGTCTGTACAGTAGAAAAACCATTACGCCAATGAAGAGTCCCCACAAGGATAGCAAACCAGACGTGTGTGTATGTGTGTGTGTGTGTGTGTGTGTGTTGATGATCATAGTTGATTAGAAAATCATCTCTGGGCCAGAAACACTCTCACTGGGTGCTGGATACGTCAGGTCCATTAGATTTACTGGTGCACCAAAATCAACTGGCTATTCGAGAACCATGAGGAATCGTGCCTGTGATGTCAGTCATTTGAATTTAATATAAATTATCCATAATGCAATATCCGTATATATGAAATTTGAACAAACTCAGACAAACAGGTTCAAGTCAAAGTTTGTTACTCATAAAAAGGCTCACGTTTTTTTAGTCATTAGATCATTCCTACAGCTTAACAGTAAAGCCAAAGCAAAGTTTCTTATTATACAACAAACTATCTCATTGTTTCCAATAAACCGTCGATCAAAAGAACAATCCAGCAAATTTTAACCACACAATGAGGGGAATTGGCCTCTGCTGTTGAGCAGGTGGAGAACTGTGATGTCCATCTGTGTACACGATCTGCCAGTCTTCGCCATCCTCCATTCTGATCCATGAGTCCGGTTTTAAGGGAGCATTCAAGTTTCAATACAAACTCATTTAGCGGCATTTGTGGTATAATTACTACAAAGATTTCAACCCATCCTTTTATTTATTTATCTGTTTACCACTGATGTCACATGGACTTTTTAACGATGTCCTTACTACCTTTCTGGGTCTTGAACGTGGTAGTTGCGTTGCTGTCAATGCAGGGTCAGAAAGCTCTCGGATTTCATCAAAAATATCTTAACTTGTGTTCCGAAGAAGAATGAAGGTCTAACGGGTTTGAAAAGACATGAGGGGGAGTAATTAATGACATAAATTTCATTTTTGGGTGAACTATCCCTTTATCCATGGTGAGTCCATCCCTTGATGTTTCATCTCATTTTGAACCTGAGGTTTCTCTATAACCATGCAAACAATTGTATAACACTGGTCATATTGACTGTCATGTGACACAACTACATCTCCCCATCTCCCCATTCTTCTCCTGATGCAGTTGTTTGGGTGTATAACCTTGCGAATATGTGAACTGTAATTACGTAATTGGCCTATTAATCTGGGAGTAGGCCTGATGTGTAACTAGTAGAACAGTACAAACTGTCTGTGCACTGGATTTGATTGTTTACTGGTGTGTTGACTCACAAAATGAGTCGAACTGACAACACAGACCAGCAAAGCAAGCCACTATAATGCACATCTCCCAGGGGTTTCACTAGTTTTGATCAATGAATTTCCATGACTTCCTCATTTCCATGCCTAATACATTGACTCTTTCATTCTGAAAATGCCACTACTGTGGTTTTGTCAAATGTGGCAAATGTGTGATCATGTGGTTTCATTGTTTGATAGGAACAAACGATCAAAAAGTGTGATGAAAACATTTAAATATAATCCACACAAACAAAGTTCAAGGGTTGAAAATTAATTGACAATCTGAGAATTCTGAGAATTAGATTAGAACAGTATTTATGTAATTATATTACTTGAAAACAAGATTAGCCTGAAAATGTGAATCCTAAAATAGGCAGGGATTAGTGGCATGTCATTGTCTCTAACTGGTCAAGCAAGATACTGTAAGTTACATATTTTTTTTCAGTGCAATGTAACACAGAGATGAAATATTATTGGACAGAGCATAATAAATATAAATGCAGAAACTATGAAAAAAATAATGACATGCAAGATTGTATTAACTTCTTTAATTTTATTAATTTGATCAACTTTTCAGGTCTGGAAATCATAATTTTAAAATTCCCAGATATTTCCAGGTTTCTCCACATTGGTGTATAAAAAGAGTTGTTTGCAAAACAAAGTTGTTAAGCTCTGAGGTTGTGAAGATATAAATAAATACAGTAAAAATATTGTGAAACATTATAATAATTTAAAATAGCTGTTGCAGCAGCCACGTCGCCAGTCTTCAGCGTTACATGGTCTTTCAGAAATCATACTAATATGCTAATTTGATGCTCAAGAAACATTAATTATTATCCATGTAGAAAACAGTTTTGTTGCCAAATATTTTGTGGAAACCAAGATACAGTTTTTTTTTCAGGATTCTTTTAAGGTTCAAAAGAACAGAATTTATTTGAAAGAGAAGTCCTTTGTACTTTATAAATGTCATCACTGCCACTTTTGAAAAAATTCATGCACCCTTAGTGAACAATATTCATTTCTTAAAAAAAAAAAAATGGACTCCAAACTTTTGAACAGTATTGCCTAGTTTTAGTACTAGAGTCATGAATATATGTTTGGCTGAATGGAAAACTCTCTTTCTAATTCTAACACAGCTTTAAAAACCTGACTGCATCGGAAAGACAGTCTCATCGCTCTTTGTTTAGCAGGCAGCTGCGTTCTCCACTCACCTCTCTGTCACTTAGATAAGACTCTGTAACTGTTTCTGTCGAGGGTAAACATTGTTTGATGGTGTATTTGGAGTGTAATAGAGTTTTCTCAAAAACCTTCCTCTACTGATTGACTGTAAAGCCTAATAAAATGCACTTCAGTGTGGCGGAGGTTTGCTGCTGTTGTGGGATCCACATGGCCATGTACCAAGGCTTTTACGAGTGGTGATGGCTAAAGCAAAGGCCACTATTTTTATTGTAACTTCTACTAACTCTGTTACACTTCAACCTCTAACTCACTACACACCGTTTCTGTAACAGACTCAAATGCTACATCAAATCATGTGGTTTGTGTGCCATGATGGTGCAATTAACCCTTCGCAGGGAGTTTGACTGACGCGATCTGACCAATCATAATGCAGAATCTGCCATTTTTGTCAGACAAACAAACCAGACAGGAGAGTAGATAACGTAACGTGGACTTGAAAAATGGTGTGTATTGACGTCTTTCCACAGCTGAAATAAAATACCATCTGAT